TATAGTTGAGGGATCAAAAAAGTGCAAAAATTTGTTGAGAGATCAAAAAGGTGCATTTTGTAAAGTTGAGGGGCCAAATTTAGCATTTAACCAAATAATAAGAACTTTGTGTTAATGAAGAAGCAGGAAAGAAGTTTCAAAAGTCCTACAATAGATCATCATCAATGGTACCAAGCTTTCTGACCAGACTTGGTATTAGTTTTTCTATTGGATTATATATTTTACTATGTGATTCGTTTTTTATGTACTTATGATATGATGAATTACGTGGTAAGAATAACCTTTCTTTTCTTCTCTTTTTTTTTCACTAAAAGCCCTCGGTATTTATAAAGAAAAAGGAAAAAAAAAAACTTTACCTATCTATCTCTCAGTTTCTAACCACTCAGGATGTCAAACAAATAAACGCAAACTTTTAAGTTATGTGTGGATTGGTTATTAAAATAATACAGTATGTTCTCAAACATCTAGTTAATAATTAAATAGGATCACTTCTACATTTTACATCTATAGCTTTAAGAGACCCTATAGCTAAATGGTGAAAATCCCATAGCTAAATGGTTTAACCCTAAAAATATTTCTTGTAGCTTGCCATGGCTAGAAATGGCGTGGTTAAAAGTTAGCTATAAGATTTAATTGTTCCATAACTAAGAATACTATTTCTTGCCACAAACACAATAAGTACGTGGCTAAATGTTTTAAACCTTTTGCCACAAAACTAATATTCTTGTAACAAAAAGTCTAATTCTTTAGCCACAAAAACTAATCGCATAGCAAACTGCTTTATTCTTTAACTATGAAAATTAAACTTATAGCAAACTGTTTTATTATTTAACCATAAAAATTGAATATTATAGCTAAATTAGATAAGATTGAAGCAAATAGGCTCATGTCCATAGCTAAATGCTAAACTACTTGCCACAAACATCAGGCTTGTTGCAAAAGAAATAATAATAATAAAATAAATAAATAAATAAATAAATTTCTAGGTAAAATTAATTATACCAGAATTTTACTTTTTTATTTATAAATGTGGTAGATAACAGGAGATTAAGCTTAAAAAAGCAATTCAAATCATTATATAACAATGCAAAAAAGAAAGTACGATAATTTTATAACTCAATGATCATCATGTAACATCAATATAGTATATACATTCATGTAAACTAGTCAAAACTCTACTATAAATCACTAAATCTAAACGTTAAATATTTTTAGCATAATAACTTTTCTAACTTATGTAACATTTTTAGCTATTTCTACATTCATTTCACTTCTAATATGATAATCATAAAAGGAAAATCTTCAGCAATCTTCTTCTTGATCATCTTCAGAACTCTAATTGAATATTGCAACTCCAAATTTGACAAGAACAGAAATCTGCCCATAACTACATAACCCAAGCAATAATAATATTGATGAGAGTATAAAACAATACTTATTGGCCTATAACATCATTAACAAATTGTAACAATCACTACATGAAAAACTTTCAAAATCAAAGAGGAGATATTTACCCAAAAAGATGCATTGAGTTGTAGTGCGCTTTAGCACAAAAGCTCAAAACAATCACTGCATAAAATGTAATAAGCGAATTAGTTTTATTTAATTTGTCCATGAGAATCACAAACAATGGTGATATTAACCATGAAATTCATAAACATATCAAAATATTTGAAAAGAGAAATAAAGTTAAAAAACCAACACAATCTAAATCTGCTTTAAATGAAAGGAACTAAAGGGAAGTCTAAAAAAAAGATAATATGATAACAAAGGTAATAGAATAACCTGAGAAAGAAATAATCTACTTTAAGATGGTCTAGTCAACACACTCTTAGCAGTTTTCAAGATGGTAAGATTAACCCTTTCACCAATCCTACAAACATCCACATGACAACAAAATGAGACAGAAATATCAAAACCATTTTCTCCAAGTAGTCAGGGTAAGTAGAACAAAGTTATAGCCATAATAATTCTGAACAAAATCTTCTAAAGTAAAAGTAACAAAATAGAAAAAGACCAGAGCAAACAAACCAATCTCTATGCCAAAGTCAGAGTTCTTGAGCAACCAATACTCACAAGCCTTGCCTTTAAAGAAAAAAAAAGAGTCAATGGTAGAGATGAAAAAAAATCTAAAGAGTTAATAATTTGGAGCTTACCTTAAACAACTTTGTAATTTCAGAATTAGCATATTTTTGCTATGGTGAAGTGTAGCGACCAAAGCTAGAGAAATCACCAAAGGTAGAGAGGGAGTGGAGGGAGGCTGTAGAAAAAAGTGACATTAAACAACTTTGGTGGTAATTAAAATGAATATATACAACAACAAAAGTTGTGAAAAGAGTATTTTACAATGATTTCAAACATTATAAAAAGAAACAATACAAAATAGTAGTTAAAAAGATGTTTATTAAACTTATATTAAATAAAAAGATAATTAAAGAGATAATACAAAACACAAATTACCTATTACAAGAGACTTTAATTAAAAATTCTAGTCCAAGCATGACATCTTCTACCTTCACTAAGAATTCTAGTCCATCACCATAATGAGTAATAACTTCAACACTCAAGTGCTTTCCACTAGCTGATTTATTCTCGTACACCACAATAGGTGCCAGGGCAACATCTTTGAAATGAATAGATCCCTTAAAAAAATTCTCATATGGATCAGGAGAGCCTGAAACAATTTGAAGAAACTCATTCTAGAATTCAAGATCAGGGAATCATCCAACTTACATGATTAAATAAAACCTCAATGCCCAAAATAGAGTAACATAACAATAATCCCATCATTTTCTACTAATTCTCCTGCTAGGCAAGATAACATACATACACTTAATTGACCAAAAACTTCAAATACATGAGGTGCATGCCAAGAATGAAGGTGCAGATAAACCCTGAGCATGTGAATCAAAAGGAAGAGATGGCTAAAGCTATATTGAGTATGTAGATTACTTGAGCAAATAAACACCAAGCCAAAAAAACAATAACAAACCCAACAGAGCAAACACTCAATATCAAATTCCACGTAGAACAAGACTAAACAGGGAGTCAAAATTAAGAAAACCCAACGTTGGGTTGGTCCCTAACAGACAACTAAAGAATTTAATAAGGAATCAAGCAGCCATCCAAATACCATTAAGGACAGAGCAAAAAAATACCATATAAAAACGACTATCATCAAATCAAATAATCAACCGTGAATTTTTTGGTCCAAAAACTGGTTAAAATAGAATACAATTAGATAAAGAACTAAACTTGAGGAGACCCAATGTTGGGTCGGTCCTTCAAGATCAAATTTAAGCTGTATTCCAGACAAAATCTAAAGAAATACCTAAAATTGAACAAGAATCCTTTTTCTATTGCAATTTGAAAGCGGGATTACAGATGAAATCTTCTTCTAATTCGAGCTTCTAGATGCTCGATTACAAGTCCCTGGCTGAATCCAAAAAAACTCACTTTCACTCTCCACCGATTTCTTTCTTCCATTTTTTTTTTTTTTTTGTCTCGGATGACCTCCTCTTTTTTTGGTCCGTTGTTCTGCCCTAGAATTCTCCCCCGAAAATCTCAGATCTGAGATCTCAAGAGGCCCCCCCAAAACCCTAAAATGTTTACCTTTTATACACGAATCCCACACAAGCGTTGGCTAGGGTACCTTCCGTGAAACTTCGTCTGTGATTATGGTTGGGCTGATCATCGGATTATGGGATTAAGCCGCGAAGAACTTTGCCATGGCAGCGTACGGCATTAGGCGGGATTGGGCTGGAAGGAAGACGAACTTGATTTTATCCCCTACTCGAGTGAAACGACAACATTTCTGAAGGGGCTCTATTTATGATTCGATCCACAAATTTCATCCACCTATCTTTTTGATCCCCAACTTCCTTTCTTGTCACATTTGGGTCCCTAAAAGTAAAAGATAGAACTTTCATTTTAAATTTTTTTCAATTGAGTACAAAAGGCTGTTAACTCATTTTAATCTCAATTTTTCTTTAACAGATTTTCTAAGTTAATTTTCCACATCACATTAAAGTTCAAAATTTTTAATTTTTGTTTAAAACATAAGAATTTGTGAGAAATTAATAATTAATTACAATTAAATAATTTTATAAGAAGTAAATAATTGATAATAAGAATTTTTGTTTAAACATTTTTTCTAACTTATATTTTAAGTTTAAGAGTAAATGTTAAAAATTTAATAAATATATATTTTTTGTGATAAATTTATATTAAAAGAATAAATACTAACTTTCAATTTATCAACCGTCTAATTAAATTCATCTATATAACAACAACATTAAAATTAATAATAATTTTAACATTTTTTATACATATTAATAACAAGAAAAAAAAAAAACCATTAAACAAACCGGTTAACCATAGGAATTGATTGGGTTTCTTGAAGACTTAATCTTTCTAATTAATAATTCTCAAGGTGTGTGGTTTGGGGGACTTTTGAATTATAAATTGACAGGCGGAGATTGCGTACTATTGATGATTGTTTTGTGGCTGTTTGTGCGGACAAATCCTTACCCACTGCCGTGAGGAGTTTTATTGCCACGGGTTTTGCATCTATGTGCTGGATGATTTGGAAATATAGTTGTGAAGCGGTTTACGAAAGAAAGGAAGTCAATGGTCCAGGAAAACATGGAGAAGGCATCTGGGTTAACACTTGAAGAGATGTGAAGCAAATGAAATCCTCGGTTCTAAAGCTTGGGAGCAACCAGAACAGGGATCTGTGAAGATAAATTGTGCTGGCTCGATTAAGTTGCCTGATATCTATGGGGTGGTTTTGGTGTAGTTGCTAGGAATAGTGAGGGCTTGTTGATCTGTGGGGATAATGACACTGCATTTGCAAGTTCAGCTCTTATGATTGAGGCGATTGCACCATTAAGAGGAATGTAGCTGGCTGTTAAATGAATCACAGTTTAGCTGTGTTTGAGTTTGATTCTAAAGACTGGTTCAATTTTATTCAAGATGATACAGGAGTCCATTGGTTCAAGGAATGAAAAATTCTCCAGAGCAAAGCAGTTGGATGTGGAAAAGCTAAGCGAATGAATTCAATTGAGATCCTTTCCATTGGATTAAAGGCAAAAGTGAAGGCTGTATGTTTAATTTCTATGAATGGTCCCTGAAACCAAGATTGTGTTTGAAGTCGAGTAACTACGATAACGGGGTGACCGCTTGCTTTGGTTTATCAAATACTGAAGCGGTGAAAAAGGCTGTTGAGGGATTTAGAGCAGGGAAGGGTTGAGGGCAACGTACCGTTTCATCTTGGGTGGTTGCAATGGGAATATGTTCGGTTGTAAGCCTTGTTAGTAAGTGTAATATTATTGATATATGTAAGGGTTGAGTACTTCTTATATTTTATTCTATAATTATCTTTTCAAAAAAAATAATATTTGATCATTTATAAAAAATTATTTAAAAAAAAAAGAAGAAGAGATCTCAAATGTAAAACTTGTAAAATGAAGAAAAAGGGAAAAAAAAGTAAAGAATACATAAGTTGAAATTTGACAAACTTTAATCCGCATTTCAACTATGCGGAGATCCTTTGTACTTTACATATCATGATACTCGCATAATGATGTGGTAAAAAGGAAAGTGAACCAAGAGTAGGCACCCGCCACAATGACCGCAATGTGGGTGCATCTTAGACTATGGATACTATCATGATTGAAATGCATCTTAGACTATGGATACTATCATGATTGAAATCACTGTAATGTAATTCCCCTTTCCTCAATTTTTCAATGTTCAAAAAAAAAAAAAATATATATATATATATATATATCTTTCTTTTTTCTCCTTTGTAATTGCTTAGTTAGCCTCTTGGGCCAGTTGTTTGTGCAGCCAAGTTCCTCAGTGATGAGCTTAGTTCAGATCATTCATGTAACAAATTTCCATCCCAAATTTCCCATGTTAAAAAAAGAGAACAATTTTTCTTTGCTAATTTTACATTTTTAGAAACTCACAAAATTATCAAAATATGATAAAGTTGACTTATTGGACCTCAAATTAACTAATAGTAGTGTCAAAATTTGGGTCTTAAAGAAATAAGCATTAGGTATTTTTAAAATTAATTTATTGGATTCAATTTTTTAATTCTAATAATAAGTAGATTTCATCTTCTTTCAAAAAAATAATATCTAATTATTTTTTAAAAAGTATTTTATAAATTAAATTATGTCAAATAATAAAACACCAATTATTAGGTGAATGAACCTTTCTCTAGAACCATGAGCTTTTAATCAAATAAATTATATTTTATAATCTAATATAATTTAAATAGTAAAATACCAACCTCTAATTTTTACATGTTATTAGTAATAGTAATATCATATGCGGTCATTTTATTTTGATTTAGTCAACTCACTTCTGGCCCACAGTGGTTTTCCCTTGGTTTCACAACAAGGAAACCCAGCC